ACCAGGACCAGAGGGTTCTGGGTTGGAGTCCCGGGGGAACCAGGACCTTTCTGGGTGGTTCTGCATGTTCTCCTGTGTCTGTGGGTTCTCTCCGGGTTCTCCGGCTTCCTCCCACCGTCCAAAAACCTGCATGTTAGGTTGTTGGACTCCAAACTGCCCTTAGTGTGAGTGTGTGTGGTTGTTGGTGGTTGTGTGTCTCTGTGTGTCCCTGTGATGGACTGGGGACCGTCCAGGGTGACCCCGCCTCTCCCCATTGGCTACTGGGATAGGCCCCGCCCCCTCACGACCCCATTAGGGAGTAAGAGGTTACCATAATGGATGGACTCCTTACGTCTGGCAGCTTGACCTGACAGAAAAATGCCAAGTCGTGTTTGTTTTTCCACAGTTAATGTCGTGACTTCAGTGATGGAAAAGTAAGATGAGACACAACATCACTGAGTCCAGCAGATCTGGATCAGCACCTGGTATGAAAGTGGTCTGGATCAGATCTGAAAACTCCTTCCTGGAGCAGATTTGTGGAACATCTCACAACCGCTCTTGTTTAGCTCTTGCTATTCAAATCAGCCATTCGACTTTAAAGCAGAGCTCTTCTTGAAGAGCCCACAAACACCTGGAGATAAAGATCCCTGCTTAAAGCGTGTCGTTTCTTTAGCAGCTTCGTGTCCTCACCTCCAGAAAACTCATCCTGGAGAAGGAGAGGCCTGGAGGATAGTGAATGCTCAGGCTGGTGTTGTACGAGTCGTCCCCGCTATTGGCCAGAGTCACTGAGATGTTGAAGAAGTTATCTTCAGTCACCAGTAACTCCGAAGTCCTGCAAAAGTGGTAAATAGATGAGTCCATAACAGGATTTCAGACAAACATCTGCTCTCTTTGACAGAGACACTTACAAAGGTGTGAAATCCACTTCAAGTTCGGCGATGCAGACGTCATTTTTTCGGCACCGTTTCTGAAAGGGAACCTGAAAAGAGGTCAAAGGTCATCAATGTTTTTCATTGGTGCTTCATTTCCAAATAAAGCAGCCAGCAGAGATCTACTTCCTCTTTGCTGTTTATGGGATTTTTCTGAAGCTGTGACCATTTGCTGCTCTGTGTTTTCTGACTTTCAACAGTTCTGAAATAAAAATAGACTGATTTCTACAAATGAAGATGATGATGAAGGCTCCAATAAGGAAATCGAAAGCTGATCCTAAAGGCTCCAATAAGGG